TCACATCGGGACCAATAGCGATAATCAGCCATTTCTTTCAGGCGACACAGCAGGTCTTGAACAAACAAAAGGAAAAGAAAAATGCCTCAGTCAGGAACCTAAAATCCGTCCATCCCTTTTCTAAAAACAAGACAGGCTCATGGAGGAGTAACTGAAAAATGAGCTGGAATGGCATCTTCTTTTTCCTGCGTAATGCGTTCTGGAGTTCTACCAGAATTACAGAAGCAACTCAGGCCACTTGCCTCAAAAACCCCAATTTGTTTTTTTCTTGGCTTGAAACTGCACTAATTCCATCCATCCATTTTCTAACCACTTTATCCGACACAGGATCCCGGGAGGAGCCGGAGCCTATCCTGGCAAGCAGTGGGCACAAGGCGGGATACACCCCGGACAGGACGCCAGTCCATAGCGGGGCACACACGGACACACACACTCAGTGCCAGTTTTCCCCGAAGCCAGTTAACCCCAAAAACAGACTAAAAATAAATGGCAGATCCTGGGAACCTCAAATAAATAACTCAAGTTAGAAAGGAACAAAAAAGACCTTGATAGGGGAAACTCTACTTCTGCAAACCTTTCCAGTCCTTTCCTTAGCAACAATGTGCTGTACATCTGGAGTGTTTTTGCTGTAGTCTGCTGGCGTTTTCGCCGTGTCTCTTGACTAACGCTGGAAAAGAGACATTCATCTCTCCCATCATCCCATCTGTCTCACCTTCTCCCTGATGAGATCATATTTACTGGCTCCCCTTTTCCCCCCACCAGAGACGCACTTCCGGCCACTGGGCCTGACAGCAAGATCATTCTTGCCTTAAGAGACGAGCGTGTTACTCTCTCTGACAGAGAGGCAGCACATTGAGGTGGCTTTTTCCACGTTTTCTTCCCCCCGCCTTCTTCGACGAACCTTCACCATCGTGCTTGCTCAGCAGCTGGGCCGCTGTCGGCGCCTGTGCGGTGTGCTGGAGAGCTCAGAGCGCGGGCTTGTTCCAGAACTTTCTGAAGTGGTGAGGTCAGGAGATTTCCGGAAAGCTGCAGCTCCGCTTCTGAAATTTCAGTAAAAAAAAGACGTTATATAGACAGTGTGGTTCTCCCCCCCCCTCCCCCACCCCTATTTAATTTCTTCTTAATTCAAAACACCTCGTCCTGGTTTTGTCACACAGCTGCTGTGCTCGGCTTTAAATTGAAGCCCAGTCAATGTCTTCCAATCTCTTGACAGATTTTCTTTTCATCTAGTGTCCATTTCACGAGGTTTTGCAAGACTGGGCTGCTCATAGACCCTGTCTGCTCTTCTGCTAGCTGTGCAGTTCATTTGAATGACAACATTTTAGAGGATTCTCAATCGGAAGAACGTAGGAACAGTTAGTGATTAATTGGCTCCAGGATCTCATCCAGAAGTTTCTTGAAAGAAACCAGGATACTTCTTCAATAATATTGGAGGGTAGCTTGTTCCACACTCCCTTCACTCTTTAGGTACCCTTTGGGTTTTAAATGCTCTGCCATACAGTTGGAAAACTTAAGTTCTTTCAACCTGAGAGTATAAATGAATCACTTATCAAGGCATCCTGAGACGCACTGGAAGCAAAAGATTACTGAAAGAACCTTCAGTTATTTAAAAAAAAACAACAACTGTTATGCAGTTTGAGATCTGGTAATCTTGAACTCTTAACTGTTTTTAAATGATACTGTACTGATCTAAAAGTATTAGTTATCAGTGCATCATCCAGATGGGAGCTATAGATTGGTGTTGGTGGAGAAGAGTTACCTCTAAAGCGCTTTGAGTGGAGTGTCAAGAAAAGTGCTATGAAAGTGTAAGCAATTATTATTAGTAGTAATAGTAATAGTTATATGAAAACAATCATGGAAGCAGGGCAAAATGATTTTATAATGCAAAGTTCACATGGCAGAATAATGCCCTTTGTGTGGTAAGGAACTGTGGGTATCTAGGCACACGCAGTAACAGGAGTACCTGCAGAGTTTGAAATGTTTTAATCCAGTGGCTCCTGGGAGGGAGGGTGCTCATGACAACTGAAAATCAAAGTTTTGTCTACAGAGGGCGCCACATGGCGCTACACGCAAGGCTCCTGGGAGAGTTTGCAGCAGTGGGGCCACTGACACGCAAAGGTCGAGGAAGAGAGCCCAGACTATCTGAAAGCAGTTCATCCTCAGAGTAGATTCTCTGCCTAGGCAGGGATGATCCATAAGGGTAAATCGAGGACGGCCTCGCCGCACATACATCTTCAAGAGCAGTTAAGGTGCCCATTAATGGAAGATGGTCGCAAGGGGGTGTAGACGCTCTGGGATCTTCACAACGGAGAAGCAAAACAACTAAGCGACTGGAACAGGCAGCAGATTTGAATCAGTGGGCTGATAAAGTCTTGATCTTATTTCTCTTTACAGAAGAGTCCAAACTGTGGTGTTTGACAGTAATCAATGGCAGCTTGTTTAAGGCTAACTGACATAATGGCCAGTGCAATATACTCATTTATCTGTAATAGTTACTGAGTTTGTGTATATTGGCTTAATGTTATTAATATAATTGGCCTTAATTGAATTACAGGTCCATATGGCCGCCTATTACCAATTATTTCCACCAATTGCTTACTGTTTCTTAAGGTTGCTTTAAGCAGTAGCTCCAAATTTACAGTACAGTGTAATAACCCGCTGTTCGAGGGGAATGAGCCATGGATATATGAGACGTAAGATGAACCCACGTGCTTGGCGACAGAGGCAGACGAGACAGGGAAACTCCAAACCAGGCCGCCGACTAGGGAAATTGCACAGCGCTCTGCGCACACGGCGGAGCTGAGCAGGGCTGCACGTGTATGGCAACGGGCTGCACATATCGTCACTAATAGGAGAGCTGAGTGAGCTGAGCCCTCAGGTAGCTGGCTGGGGACTTGGGGACACCGCACAGAGCTGCGCAAACGGGAGGCGTGGAGGTGTAGCAGGCAGAGAATGCAGTTCAGGTTTGTGATCGAGGATGCTAGGGCCAAGGCTGACGAAGGAGATGCAAACACAATCCAAAGCACAGAGGGGAATCCAGGTTGGAGCAAAGTGAGGGGAGGCATGGTAGCGAGGTGCAGGGGATTTTCAGATTGGTGTCGTAGACGCAGGCAGGGTCAAAGTCGAGGATGATCAGGGAACAAGATTGTGAACACAAGCAGGGGTCAGGAATCAAAAGCTAAGGAGCAAACTCGAGACTCGAGGGTCTCAGAGGCGAAACTCTATAACAGAGACTGGAGGAGTGTCAGAGCAGTCCTTAAATATTCTGTACCACCTGATGCTGGCCTGGATGTACTGTAGATTGCTTGCAGGTGATGCAGATTTCCTGTCGGCACATATTTCCATGGTATTCAGCACTGAGTGACAGGTGGCTACCATGGCAAACACTAGCACACCCCGCAGCTTTGCAGTAGGGGTGAGTCTGACAATATGCAGTCACATAGTAAGTTAGTCTAATAAGGGTGTTCTTACTTCGAAGCAAATGCTTTTGGTTGTGCATGCCTCCCAGGTGCATAATCTGTCTTTTCTCCTTAGCAGTTTGTGCTCAGATTTGACAGAATGTCAATGACGTGCCTCTGTGCCTCAGGCACAGCTCTCCAACACTCAGACCACGATGCTGCTTCTGCTGTAATGTAGCCATGTGAAGTCAAAGCTGTTTAGAAAAGAACAGGGTTTTGGCATTTTGAAAATCAACACTCTGTGGAAACATCTCTGTCTGTTTGGCCCAGGTTCTACTTTGAATTTGAGGCGAATCATTCTTTAGACTTGAAAGTACACAAAAAAGAATATTTACTTTAGTAATAAAAACTAGAGTCTCCCTGGGACAGATTAAAGTAGACTTATTACCCCAACATAGCCATTTTAGAGTAGATTTTTTTGTGGTGCAATTATGAAATGATGTCCTTAGTTTGGCAGAACAGAGCAGAATTCAGCATAGTTTTGAGTGTGAAGCAATTCAGACTTTAGCAATAGAGAATCCAGCCATATTGTATTCTGCTGCCTTGACTCAAAAAGCATATAAATGTGACGCAATGCCTCCTGCCTCCTGATCTTGGTTTTCAGCGTGCTTCCATGTAGTTTCCATGTCTGTCCTCTGGTTTGCATTGGCACTGTGCATTCTGAAGAAGTCCTCTGGGTTTGGCCCAAGCAGAAATCCAACCCATGCCCTTGGCTTTGTTTGCACTGTGCTTTAAACAACCGAGCTTACTAGCCAGGAGGTAACACCCTTCTTGTATAAACCTCTGGCAGTGTTGTTTGTGTCCAGGCTGCCCACCCACTTTGCTCTTTGACCCCTGGCTTGTTGTCTGCCCGGCTACAGCACAATAAACCTGCCTCCAGCCTTCCTGGGTGTCACAGCTCTCGGCCCTCCAGTCTGTGCTTTTTACAGCCCCTCTCCACAAGGCAGGCTCTTGACAAGTTTGCACAGCAACAGCAGGTCAAGACACAGGGTAAACACCCAGCTGGTTTTATTGTTCATCCCCACCACCACTAGTGATCAGTGCTGTGACAGTGAAGGATGCCCCTGGCCTTGGGTTCAAAGGTCAACAAGTATTGCAGAAAAGCCAAGTCAAAGCCTGAAGTAGACTCCTTGGAGTAACGAGAGTTTGGTTTCTGGTTTCTATTTGTTCTTAGTCTTTCAGTCTTTTCAGACCAGTCAATTGGTTTGTTCCCCTCCTGTCCTTCCAGCTCTGATCTCAACATCCAGCTGCCTTCCACAACCAGAGCTCTAACTAATGAATCAGTCTGCTTCCTAAGATTGCCTAGCTCCTTGGACCTGGCTTAACCTCATAATACCTTAGTTGTAACCTTTAAGCCAAAATACCCCACTGCACCAAACTGCGGCCTGCTAATCCCTTTGATTCTCAGTCCCTGAATTTTGTCTGTACTGCCTTCCCCCCCAGGCACGCAGCTGTAATCTAAAGATCAAAAGGGCTTAGGAGGGCCGTTCCATTGGTGTTTAATGTTGTGCTCTTGTTGAAGGTTGCCCTCTTCTTTTCCAGAGCGCAGCAGGCCATCCAAATAATAAAGATTCACGGGTCATCTGGATCAAGGACTCTGACAATATCCTGACAACGGGATTCAATCAGGTAAGGCTCAAGCTGAAGTACCTACCCCCCTGTTTGCCTCTGTTGTAGTTATTCATTCAACAGCAGGGCGGAAGTTCAGACAGGGTCGCTCAAAATCACTGCAGAAGTTTTGAAACTCCACTCTCATATATGGCCTGGCAGTTTTTTAGTGAGAGCGCACCTGGAAAGGAATTGGGAAAGCTGTCTGCTCTGTCCGTGAATATAAAGTAAAAACAGCTGCTTTCTCCATGATCGTCTGCCTCAGACCCCACATGACACTCAGGATGTGTCTGATCTGTGCTAGGAGCTTTTACTCAGGTGTGTAATCTGCAGTGTGGGCTGCAGTGAGTGTTAGTTGGCCAGTGGCAGCTTTAAGCAAAACTCTAAATTCAGCATCTTGCCAGGCTCCTGCGTGCTTGCAGTGATGTCACTAAGAGATGCGCCGCTCCTCCAGTTGGGACTAACCCACCAGCTGGCCCTAGTAGACCTGCAATAAGTGCCTCTACAGTCATTACAATGAGCTTCCACCTCATATCTGATTAAATTAAAGGGGAACTTTGGTCCCAGTTTCTCACACTTGGTTATTAAATCTTGGTAACAAAATAAATTCCTTGGCGCCATAGAAAAAGTTGACAATTTTTTAATTAAGCACAAAATTCACAAACTTTGTGGAATTACAGGAGGTCGCCATGTTGTCACAAACCCCGGCGAGAGCAAGAGTTTGCGAGAACTGTGACGTGAGGCGGCGGCCCTTCCTGCTCAGTAGTCACTGTAATGGCTCATGCAAAGTGAGGGACGAGCGCATAAGCACAGATATTTCACAGTGGAAAGTTTCCAACATTATCTGCAGAGTTAACAAATACGTAGTATTTGTCAGCAAAGCTGTCTTGAGGTCAGGAGCAATCTTTCTGTGGGATTAAAAGAGATGTTTTTACAAGCCTGCTTGTTTACAAAGTAACAGGGCCGCTTCACCTCAACAGACGTTTTGTTGCTTTATTCTGAATATGGCGCTGCGTGTACCTGGAAATTTAATCTGTTTTGTTACGTAAATTGGTTTTTACAAGTTTTACAAGTTACTGTGTATAATTGACTTTATTGTGGTTTGAAACGCACTCATCAATGCTGATTCTTTCTAACCCCAAAGTATAAGAGCAGTGTTGCAGTTCCCCTCGAATCTGACCGCCATCTGACCTTGTTCGTTTGTTAGGGTTCAGTCTCAGCCTCACATGTGCTTGCACACAGAAGAGGACTTCTGGCTTGCGGGTGGTGGGTTAGACTGTGTGAAACAGCTGGGGGAGCTGTTTCTGTTTGTGTCTCTTCTCTTACTGGCCTGTGTCTGCTCCCATTGGGTAGTTCACCCAAGAGAAACTGGTTAAAAAGGGGATTCTACCTGTTTCTTCTGGAGATTGGAGTGTGTTCACTGGGATCCCAGCAGGACTCAGTTTGGTTCTGTTGAATACTCCGATCTGTTTTTGTTTTTCTTTTGCATCAGTCATTGGCGTTGGAGCTCTGCAACATAGGTAACTGGGCTTGTGAACTTTGTTCCCACCAAAATCCGTAGCACAATGAAAAAGCGCTGAGTCTTTCTGGCACTGTGGTGAACCCAGCGTAACCACAGTCTTTAACTGGGCTGGTCTGTCACTATTGTATTGAAAACAGTCATCCCTGCCAAAATAATGTGAGTCAAAAACTGAAACCAGTAAGTTAAAATGCTGGATAAACTATGAAAAGGTCTCTGAACAAATGTTGACTTAACAAACAATATTGTATATTGCTGAGAGGGGAAGTGAGAAAGATTAATGATCTTTTTCCACTCTTAATGCATAATGCTTCTTGGGTGAATGACAGAATTGTTTTTTTTTTAGATGTCTGATTTGACACTCTTCAGCCTTTTCTTACAGTTTCTATCAAAAACACATTATTTCTTAAGCGTTTAAATCTAATTTGTGTCAAATATGTGAATTCCTTCACCCACACGCAACGCACTTGTTTGGGATTTTGAAACCCTTCTCAGAGTTAGATAAACCCTTGTATAAATGTGTTTTTTTTTAATGTTGGGGATTGACATCTTTGGGGTTGTTTCTTCACTTGGGATGTTTCTGTTCACATCTGGAACCAACCAGTGACTGGTTTTTGCTTCTTAACGATGAGTAACCAAAAAGAAAGTCTCAGGACCACAGGGCTGCAGTCTGTGTGGCGACTCTGTGGACATTGGTTCGACGAGGACTCAGCTGGGGGAGCCTGGAGACAGGTGACCGTCCTCACCCGGCTGTCTTGTCTCGCCCTCAGATGCGCGAGAGGGAAGTGAAAGTGTGGGATGCCAGAAAGCTGGGATCCTCGCTGGGCTCTGTGTCTCTGGGCACCTCCGCAGGGTGAGTAGCGGCCGTCCTGTCCGTTCTGGGTGGCCCAGGCTGGTCACGGCCTGTTGGTCCGCGCGGCAGAGCTGGCAGGCCAACGCGACAGAACGACGTCTTTGTTAGGAGAGAATTCCACCAGCGACTTGGCACATTCTTGTCATTTCTCGGCACATGGTTTCCTGTCAGCTCTAACAACTGTGAAGAATAACAACAACTGTTTGTCGTAGGAGGAATTCCACACAAGTCATGCTTCCAAACTGCTCCTCTGACCCCTTGTCTTGCAACTGTCTTACCGAACCAATGTGGTGTGCTGGACATGTTTGATAAGACTGAAAATCAGCATTTCACTAGGATTGAGGATTTGGCTGTTTTCTTTTTTTAGTTTCAAAATCTATGTATTGGTGTTTATAATTTTAGGCCTCAGCCTCGATTCCTTCGACATTTCGACCCTTCTTTTCAAAAGTAAAAGTCCCCCTACACATCCCTCATGCTGCTTTAAAAACGCCTCGTCAAAACCTGGCCTGCAGTTAGTCCTTGATTAAGGTTTGAGCACAGCTCTTCCCTGGCTTCTCACTGAAAGAGATCATCAAGAGCCTGAAAAACCTGAGAGTGGTTGTTGATATTAAAGGATTGTTATATCATAAAATAGCTCAGAATAAGGAGAGTTCAGTGTTATGCATCAACGTCTTCAATGCAGATACACACCAGACTCCAGTACTGCTACTGTACGGTGAGAAGATGGATTCACAGGCTAGAGGGGTTTCTGTCTATTTTATCTGTGCTTTATTTTGTCTATTATATTTCCTACTAAAATGCACCTGGCATTTTCAGGAAAGTGTCAGTTAACTCAGTTGGTCATTGTCGAGATGAATCAGCCTGGATGTGTACGTTTGCTTTTATTGTGACTTTGTGGAGAGCGCACTTTTCCTAAAAGTGAGAGGCGATTTCTACAGGGAAGCTGTTTAGTATCCGCTTTATCGTAACGAGTGAGAACTAAAAAAAACCCTGGGTGGATCGAAAGTCAGATCGTGGGATTATTTTTCCCTCTGATTTTTGCGACTGTAATTGATGTTCTCTATTACTGCTCGGGCACAGGGGACCTGTGAAAAACATATTGCGTTCTCCCAGGATAATGACCTGGAATTGTACACAAACTGCAACCACAGTGTTTGGTTATGAACTGTTCAATGTACCATTGATGAGGAACCTCAAAGTCTTGAGAGCTTACTGGATGAGAAAATGGGATTTTTTTTAGTTTTTAGAGGGCCCAGGGTATGTTTTTGTTTTTTCTGTGTGTCTTTAAATTGGCAACACCCGAAGACCTGGGAGAAACTATTTTATTGATCACGTAAAAACCTGTAATGCGCTTGTTAAGAGCTGAGTTCAAATGCAAGCCATCAGATGCAAAAGCACTTAACAAGCTAGAATGATTGTCATTGGAAATTAGGAGTGAAAAGGTCGTTTTGATCGTGACAAAAACGTTGTAGTAGACCACTGTGTCAATTTAATAAATCTATGGATAAAAAGGTATGTTTTTAGCGGAATAAAAAGTATTGAGTGATTCCTACCTTTCTTACCAACCGGCTTCTTTGCCTTTTCTTTAGTCTGGGGGAGAGTCTGCTGTTTAACAGGCTCTAGTCTCCATCAAGGAATCTGTGAAGGTTTGATGCTGTACTTGGGTGGGTGGAGGGAGTAAACCAGGAAAATATGCAGGCCGTAAATTAAGAGTACAAATAAAACTCTGGAACAGCTGGATGCCGTAGCTCCGAATTTTAATGGCATCACAGGCCTGGGGCAGGCATACGTCTTGACATTTAGTGGGTGCGAAAGCTCCAAGTGGATTATTATGGACCTTCCCTGAGCGGTTAGCCTGAGCCCTCCTGCCATCAGGCGTGAGGAGCTAGGCCAAGGATTACTCTGCGGAGGATGAGGGGCTCAGCTCCTTGGCGCTCAGTAGACGGACTGTGCCTCTGTCGCCTCGGCCTGATCGCCGCGTTGCCAGGGTAGGACGGATGTGAGGACAGGCGTGAGGGACGCTTGAGGAAGCTGGTGTGGTCAGGTCTGCTCGGCGAGGGAAAAACGAAGCCAGTGGAAAGGCAACAAAAATGTGGAGGATTTTGTTAAAAACCTTGCGAACTCATTGTTTTTTCTGGAAGCGACAGTTAAAGCTTAAAGCAAGAGATAACGGACAAGGAAAAGAGGTACATTGTTTGTTGGGATAACCCCCCCCTCCTCCCAGTTGACTGCTGTTTTGTGAACCTTAGTTGAAGTTTAGCTGGCTTTTGAAACACTGTGAAAACTCACGCGTTTGACATTAGAACCTCTTCAGTGTTTCCTTCGCTGAAACTACATTCGCTCGTTTGATCTGTCAAAGACAAAAAAAATTATACTTATTGGCAAACAACCACTTCAAATTCCATCTCCACTGTTTAGTTTAGTCCCTTTGGAGAGGTTCTGTTATAAAGGCCTTGTTGACTCAGAAATACCTTCAATCATCCAGACATCCTGTCTGCACAAGAGAAATTAGCTGGTTGCAAACATCTTAGCTTTGGTCTTCTGTGGTGTCAGGTTTCACCTTTTGTTAGCGGATCCGTATAGTGTCCAACCTTCAATCAGCAGGTCTGCAAAACACAAAAAGTATCTAGGACTTGATCATAGTTCTCTCAGGCTTTAAGTAGCAACCCCAGTTCAGGTCAAGAGCTCTTCTTCCACTGGTGACCTGGGGGATGGGTGTGATACAGGAAATAAAACTCCACTTAGAGTAGGAGGGGTCAGGTTGGTTTTACAACATGGGATTGATTGTACAATGACAGGAAGGTGAGCATGCCTGCTCTTGCAGAGAAAACATTAGGGCCTTTAATGTCCATAATGAGGACATAATCTTGGTTTGAAATCTCATCCACATGATGGGACCTCCTGCAGTGAGTCACTTATTAAAGTGGCCACGTACTGTTTGGCCAGCACCACCTTCTGTACAGCAAATCCTGAGTTTCATTAGAGGCCTCCCATCCATGTAGTGACCAGAGCCAGCCCTGCTGAGATTACTGTGGTAAATTCAGGCTCCGAGGTGGTATTGCTGGAAGCCGGTCTTGGGCCAGAATGAATTAGCAGTCTCCTGCAACACATGACTCCCTACGACTGCCCACATCAAACATCGAGCATTGCTGCGGATTTATTTTTCTTCCTTTGGTCAGTCAGGGAGGAAAGAAAAGCTTCTTTGACTGTTTTGCAGATGTGAAACTGAATTCATGAATGTGGCAATGATATTAAAGAGTCAAACTAGAAGGCAGTATCATAGCATTAGAAATACTGCCTTCATTTTCAAGATGTGGACTGTAGCTGCTTGGTCATTATTTAGGGGGGAAGACTTCCTCCATTTCCTTGGCGGATGGAGACGTGTCCTGCAGATTGCGCTAAATGGCACCTTTGTATAAAAGGAGACATGCCCTTGGATCACGTGCAGAAAAGTGTTGATCCTTGTCCTGGACAGCCACAGGAGCGCCTAATGACTTAATTGACTGTTTTGCTTTTTTAAATTGACCTTGCCTGTTCTTTGACTGTGTCCAAGAACTGTGTCATTGAGGAGTTCCTTATGAAACCTGCATGACTGGAGTGCAGATCCCTGCTCCTAGATGGACGCTGGAGTCAGGTGTGAGGAGAAGGGAGGTTACATGCCCAGCACACTGGCATGGAAACCTCAATGTTGTACCTCCTGTTACTGACCTCTTTTAATTTCTGTTTTTCTCCTATGAACAGATTTAAGCAAGGTCTGCACTATGCTAAGATTTTATTTCTTTTTTTTTTGCTTTTCTCTTCTGTGAAAAGGGATACACACTCAATTATCTTCAAAAGGGATGGACTTTACTTGTTCAGAACTTGCCCTCACAATGCGAGTTTCCAGGCTTCTCTTCCTTTTTGTACTTACACCTCCATTTTGCAATGTGTATCTGCGGTGCCCCCTGGAGTCACTATACACATGGCGTTACTCTTATGGGGAAGGTTCGTCTACGCACCCAATCTGTAATGTCTGATTTAGGGGGGAAAATGACCTGCTGTATCCATTTCTTATATTTGTTTTTTTTTATCCTTATACTTAGGGCCTTAATTGTCACATACAACCATTTCCCTGACAATACTTGTGGTAATGTACTCTGCATCCAAATATGGTAGTCAGCAAACAATTCACTTAAATTTACTTTGCAGACTATTTCGTTATATCTTATTAAGATAGCCCTATATACTGTATATTCTGTCCAGGGGTGTTAGTTTCCGGAAACAAGCATCTTCTTTTTTGTTCAATATAATAAACAAGAGTTATTATATGTTCTCACCTGGTCCTCTACCTGGATGAAAACTCTAAAAACCTGACCCCCTGCATCAGCAGAGATGGATCTGGCTGGATGGCCATCTAGAATCTAGCTGAAACGATGCTGATACCACGTGACAGATCTTTGCATTTACTTCACTGTTAAGGGGATGGTGGAGGATTGGAGATGCTGCTCCTAGGGCAGTCAAGTCATTGCTGAAACAGGATTCTATTGCAGTGGTCTGATTCTGTTTTGTGGGTCCTTGATTGGAAACCTGGGGATGTAAAATGTACACCTAGCTGCTGATCATACAGGGAACTGTTATGAATTTCTCATGCACAAGTTCAAATAGAGTGCAGCCCAAGATATTAGTGTGTTTAAAATCCACAGCCTTGGGATTCATGGCGAGGATCTTCGAAAGAGGAAATAGTAGTGCGAGAAAATGAAGGCATTGCGTTGGAAATTCACCCGTTGTCTGCTGCTCCTGGTTTTCCTTGAACCCAAGACACCATTTAATGAAGAAATAATCCCGCATACCAGACAAGATCTAATGCACTTTGGACACAAGGGGTTGCCCTCTCTGTGCCCCCTCGCAAGATCTCAATTCCAATAAACCTCTGGCCAGTTTCCTCCTATACTGTACTTGGGAGACATCCAGAATAAACTAGAGTTGCGAGTGAAATTAGGTGGAAAATTTAATCAACGCTA